GTCTCCTGCATTGCAGGCAGATTCTTTACCAGCTGAGCCACAAGGGAATTGTGGCTATAATTGAGATGAATGTATTTAAATTGAGAGTAAGGAAGAGAAATAGAGTTTGGTAAGTAGTTGCAACTTCATTTTTTAAAATTGAATTATAGTTGATTTATATTATTACTTACAGGTGTCCAGTGAAGTGATTCAGTTACACATATGTATGTGTGTATATATATATGTATATCTATATATATTTTGTCAGATTCTTTTCCCTTGTAAATTATTATCAGATATTGAATATAGTTCCCTGAGGTGTACATTAAAACTTTGTTGTTTATTCTGTATATGGGCATCCCTGGTGGCTCATGGTTAATATAATCTGCCCTTAATTCAGGAGACCTGGATTCAATCCCTAAGTCAGGAAGATCCCCTGGAGAAGGGAATGGCTACCCACTCCAGTTTTCTTGCCTGGAAAATTCCGTGGACAGAGGAGCCTGGCAGCTATATATTTATATATACATATATATATGTATATCCATATTCATCTTTTTTCAGATTCTTTTCCACTATAGGTTATTATAAGATATTGAATATAATTCCCTGTGGTGTATAGTAAACCCTTGTTGTTGAGCATGGGATTAAGAAATACACACTATTTTATATATGATAGTGTATATTTCTTAATCCCATACTCCTAATTTGTCACCCTGTCCCTTCCCTATTTGTATTATTTTTTAGATTCCACATATAAGTGATATATAATTTTCTATTTCTCTGAGTTACTTCACTCATTATGAAAATCTTTACGTCCATCAATGTTTCTGAAAATGGCAATATTTCATTCTTTTTATGGCTGAGTAATATTCCATTATGTATACACAAATATACACTATGTCTTCTTTATTCATTAATCTGTTGATGGATACTTAGCTTGCTTCCATGTCTTGGCTGTTGTAAATAATGCTGCTGTGAACGTTGAGGTGCATGTATCTCTTCAAATTAAGAGTTTTCTTCAGATATATCCCCAGGAGTGGTGTTGCTGGATCATATGATAACTATTTTTAGTTTTTTAAGGAACTTCCACACAGTTTTCCATAGTGGCTGCACCAATTTACATTCCCACCAACAGTGTAGGAGGGTTCCCTTTTCTCCATATCCTCTCCAGCATTTATTATTTGTAGACTTTTTGATGATGGCTATTCTGACTAGTGTGAGGTGGTACCTCCTGATAATTTTGATTTGCATGTCTCTAAGAATTAGTGATATTAAGCATCTTTTCATGTGCCTGTTGGCTGTTTGTCTTTTTTGGAGAAATGTTTATTTAGGTTTTCTGCCCATTTTTTGATGAGATTGTTTGGGTTTTTTGACATTGGGTTGTATCAGCTATTTGTATTGTTTGGAAATTAACCCCTTGTTAATTGCATCATTGGTTGTAATTTCATTATTAGTTTTATTTTGACAGTTTATTTTAGAATTGTCAGTGAGATTTCAGAAAATGAAATTTCAGATTCAGAAAGTGAAAAATATTTGCAGTACGTTGATGTCTTCCATGAAATATACATTTGCTTTACATTAGTATACCTCTCTAATGAATTCTTGGCCTTAGACTTCTTTTAATCATTAAAATGTTTTAACATGAGTTTGTGGTGCTGTAGGAGAAAGGTCAGATCTCTCTTTAGGTATGCTAGAAAAATATTGGCTACTAAAGGCACTAAGTAAGATAATATCTTTGAAAGTTCATTCAGATTATCTTTAATACCAGAGAGCTTCAAGATGCTTTAGTATGTATGTTTCTCTATTAGGAATATAGTAGATTTTTCATTAGCAAAAGATTATGTATGTCTTTTTTCTTATATTGTGTGAGGGCCTTGCCCTTTTCACTTTTTTATCATTAGTGTCTGATACGCAGTAGATAAGGGGTACATGTTTACTGAATCTGTGAACTGGAAAGTATATGGCAGGAAAGACACTTTTTAAAGATTGATTTATTTATTTTATTATTATTAGTCTTTTGGCTGTGGTGGGTCCTTCATTGCTGCGCGAGGGCTTTCTCTAGTTTGCAGCGAGTGGGTGCTGCTCTTCTTTGTGGTGTGTGGGCTTCTAATTGCGGTGCCTTCCCTTATTGCAGAGCACGCAGGCCACGGTAGGCATGCAGGCTGCAACAGTTTCTGTACATTGGCTTCAGTAGCTGTGGCTCTCGGGCTCTAGAGCATTGGCTCAGTGGTTGTGGCTCATAGGCTTGGTAACTCTATGGCATGGGGGAATCTTCCTGGACCAGAGATCAAACCGGCATCGCTTGCATTGCAAGGCGAATTCTTAACCGCTGGACCACCAGGGAAACTAGGAAAGACACTCTTATGATAAGCTATCTAATAGCATTTTTTGAGGCATAAACACTAAATTTGCACCTGGTCAGGTGGTAACCTGAGCTGAGTATCTTATGCTCTGCTTGGTTGCTATGCCAGCTTGCTAATCCAGAAATAAACCAACAGCTAAATACACATGGTGTCCAGAGCCAAGATCAACAAATACAGAGAGCTTATCTCCAAACAGAGATAAGTTCAAATGTGTAATGGGTTGGAAGACTACATAGAGATCAATGAAAGTGTGGTTGGAAAAATTCCCAAGTCAGTGAATGGCCAAAACTGTATTCTGTTTTACGGTAAGGACCTCTATACTTGGAGGGAGTTTCAGATTTTTAAAACTACAAAGCAAATGGATTATATCCACATTCATGGATTATTTTGCTATTAAAATAACTTTATTTGGACAGGGCTCTAGAAGATATCAATGGTATTGTTATATTAGATAATTGAGAGGATTTACCAGAGACTCTTTTTAAAGGAAGAGTCAGGGCGGAGGGAAGGCACACACGGGTACTGAAGAACCTTAGACTTAGTAACAGTGGAGAGCTGTTCCCACCAGCCCTGGCCCTGACGGGGTGAGGGGACCGGGGCTGTTAGAGCCCAGAAGAAAGTCTTGTGGAGAGGGCTGTCCAGGGTGCTGCAGCCTGCCAGGGAGAGAGCCAAGGGAACAGAACAGACGCCATCCTCGCCTCACTCCTCTGATCCTCCTGGTGGTGCCTGTGATTGGCTGGACCCAGTCGGAAGTGGATGGACTCAATCAGAAGCCAGAGGGCAGGGGACCCCACGATTGAGTCTACACAGGGCAGCCACCCTAGGCGTAGGGCAGACTGGAGGTTGAAGAATGGATCTGGAGGGACACATAGCAAATATCCAGCTTGAAGACTTGATGATTTTCATTTTTATTACTAAAGAGCCAGTGAGGAGGGGGAAGTGAAATCAAGCAATAAACTCATTTAACAGATGTCAAGGAATGTTTATGTAGAAGCCTGTATGAGGAAAGAGTTCCCGAGAGAGATGGAAAGGCCAGTGTAAGGGCCCCCATGCAGAATGCCTGGTGTATTGGAGGGATTGTAAGGAGGCCAGCAGAGGCAGGAAGTGAGCAAAAAGAAAAATGGGAGGAGTGAGTCAGAGGTGAAAAGGCATTTCAGCCCATCCCAGGGGGCCACTTGAGAGAGAGACCTTTACTTTTACTCTAAATAAATGGGTACAACTACAGGGTTTCAAGCAGAACAGTGACATGATCTCACATATTGTAGTTTGGGCTGTCATTTTGTGAGTAGATCCTAGTGGGTGGGAGTAGAAGCAGGGAAGGTTACTGTGGTATCTGGGCAAGATATGGTGCCAGCTCCAGAGGGAGTGAGAGATGCTCAGATTCTGGGTGGATACTGAAAGCAGAGTCAGGATTTTCCAGTAGAGCTGACGTGGAACGTGTGTGTCAGGAATCACTCCCTGAGTTTTGTTCTGAAGATCTATAAGATGGGTCGCCATCAGGTGAGGTGGAGAAGGCTGTAGGTAGAGTTGAAATGAGGGGAATAGAATTGTTTACCCTAAGAACAGGGAAATTGTTTAGTGTCTGTATGTATTTGTGTGTGCTCAGTCATGTCCGACTCTTGCAACCCGATGAACTGTAGTCCACCCAGCCCCTCTGTCCTTGGGATTTCCCCGGCAAGAATACTGGAGTGGATTGCCATTGAAGAGAAGGGAATAAACAAAAAGTGTAATGCTTTGTGCATAATCAGTGTTTGGAGAGGCTCTTTAGTGATTTGGAGCCTTCTAGTGGACAAGTTTATTATTAATCTTCAGGGAATTCTCCCCACATTTCAAAACCGCATTCCTGAAAATACTTGTTATTTAGGCTTTAGTTTTCTTTGGAAGGGTTTCCCAGGTGGCTCAGTACTAGAAAATCCACCTGCCAGTGCAGGAGACACAGGAGACGTGGGTTCGATCCCTGGATCAGGAAGAGTCCCTAGAGAAGGGAATGGCAACCCACTCTGGTATTCTTGCCTGGAAGATCATGGACAGAGGAACCTGGAGGGCTACAGTCCATGGGGTCACAAAAGAGTCGGATTTGACTGAGCACATAGGCAGCCAAGTTTCTTCAAGTAAGAATAAAATCTGCAAATATATATATATATATATATATATATATATTTGGCCGCACTTCATGGCTTGTGGGATCTTAGTTCCCCAACTGGGGATTGAACCCTGGCCGCCATAGTGAAAGTGCTGAGTCCTAACCACTGGACCATCAGGGAACTCTCCTATGCAGCTATTTCCTTACACCCATGGTGAGTGGGAAAAGTTATTAGATTCAGTGTTGGAAGACTTGGACTATGAAACAGGTCTATCAGAAAGTTGACCAGTACTTACCTGCACTGCTTTAAAGTGTTCACTGTGTCTGGACTGCCTGGGAGAGGTTATAGACGTGGAAATGACACATTACGAGAATTAGGAAAGAATTAGGTGAGTGAGAATGACTGCTCGTTGGTATGAGAAGATGAGGATGTGAAGTTGAAGGAGGGAGAAAAGGAAGTTGTTAGGAGTAATGTCAGTGATTTGTCATATAAAATCTCAAGTTTTTGAATGTGAGGATATTAGTGTTCCATCGGATGTCCCTTTGATTGTAAGCTGCTTGCATTTTCTTTCTAGGGTCGACAACTTTGGTTTGGGCCTTTTACTTCGATCCAAGCAGATAAAACGCATGGTCTCTTCCTATGTGGGAGAAAATGCAGAATTTGAACGACAGTATTTATCTGGTGAATTAGAAGTAGAGCTGACACCCCAGGTAAAAAAAAAAAAGAAAAAAAATTTTTTTTAAATAATACTAACTTATTTTGAAGTTTACCTTCTTCCTTCTAGAAATTTCATTGTGTAAGAGAAGTAAGATAGAATGCTCTTTTGCCAAACCAAGAAAACTTGTTTATAAGTTGCACCTCTTGACTGCTAGAGGAATAATGTTTTGTTGCTATGCACTGTAAAAGAAGGTATTTCTAGTGGAAAGTATCCAGGCTTCAGGATAAAATGTTAAATTTGGCACTGAAATGTTTATTTCACTGCAGCATGCAAAAGTACTCACTGAAATATTTGAAGATGGTCCTAAAAGTTAACTCCTACTAATCATAGAATTAGAAATTTGTGCAGAATCTGGTCTTGCTGAGATGTATCAGGAAACTGAAGCCCATGGAGGGGAGTAAAACTGTCTGCATCACAGACTAAATGCTGGGGTCAGACCCCAGGTTTGCAGGGAACTGAAAGGAAGCAATGACTGCAGTTAATCTAGCAAATTTCCACTCACTTTATCCACCTTTTCCTGTCCTATCTGATTGAAGAGTTTGTCATTGAGGAACCTTTTTGGCCAATCCAATATAGTTGAAGGCCCCAGTTCAAGTAGATCCTTGTTTTCAGGTTGGGACAATATTAAACTCACCATCATTAATATCTAAGCCTATTCTCACTACTGGTCAGTCAAGCAGTTATCTAGTCTGAATATGATGCACTTATCTCACACGCGAGCAAAGTAATGCTCAAAATTCTCAAGGCCAGGCTTCAACAATACGTGAACCATGAACTTTCAGATGTTCAAGCTGGTTTTCAAAAAGGCAGAGGAACCAGAGATCAAATTGCCAACATTCGCTAGATCATCGAAAAAGCAAGCGAGTTCCANGAACTGTGGTGTTGGAGAAGACTCTTGAGAGTCCCTTGGACTGCAAGGAGATCCAACCAGTCCATCCTAAAGGAAATCAGTCCTGAATGTTCATTGGAAGGACTGATGCTGAAGCTGAAACTCCAATACTTTGGCCACCTGATGCGAAGAGCTGACTCATTGGAAGAGACCCTGACGCTGGAAAAGATTGAAGGCAGGAGATGAGGATGACAGAGGATGAGATGGTTGGATGGCATTGCTGACTCAATGGACATTAGTTTGAGTAAACTGCAGGAGTTGGTGATGGACAGGGAGGCCTGGCATGCTGAAGTCCATGGAGTCACAAAGAGTTGGACACGACTGAGCAACTAAACTGAACTGAATATGATGTAACTAGACCATAACAAGAGGTTTCATGTTAGGGGTCATGTCAGCAAATGTTTAGGGCCCGAGTTATTTCCCAGTAGGAAAACTGGGTAGAAAGGCAGGTGGTGGTGAGAGATAGCTGGGGAAATTAGATTTGAAATCACTAGTACCTAAAAGGGAGACAGAGTGATCAGAAGAAGATACAAAGACGTTTTTCATATAGCTGTTCCTACTCTGAAGCAAAATTTGGATTTCTCTTGGCTTTTTAAAAACCAGTTCAGCTGTATGTTGTAGTCTTTATCATTTGTATTTTTCCTTAGTTAGATAACATAGTAGATAAAATACTTAAGAGAACGTTTAGAATACATTCTAAATACCTGGAAATTTTACATTATTATTATATAATCATGATATTGTTGTTTATGATAAGATTCAGGCTGTACCTACATGTAGCACACAGTAAAATATGATATTTTATTGTATGTTTTTGATGTATACAATTAAAGTTATATACTTCAGATTTGAAAATTGATTTAAAAATATTACAAATAGACTTGTAAGATATGATGTAGAGAAACCAGTGGAGACATGGGAACTGAAAACATGAGTATACAAATAAGCAGTTCTATTACAAATTAAGGATTAAAAATAGAGAGGTTGTTGTCTAGAGAGACAGTCATTGTTTTGCATTGATCTTCTAACCTGCAGTGTTAGTGAGGTAGACCAGTATGCACTGCCAGGGGTGGTTTAGATGGATAAATACCTAGAGAGCAGGGACCGTGTGGCTAAGGATTTGTGTCCGCAGACAGAAGTGTGCTTAATGGACTTTTGATGCACTGTTGTTTGCTCACTTGTAGGGCACGCTTGCAGAGAGGATTCGTGCAGGTGGGGCTGGAGTTCCTGCATTTTACACCAGCACAGGGTATGGGACCCTGGTGCAAGAAGGGGGGTCACCGATCAAATACAACAAAGATGGCAGCATTGCCATTGCCAGTAAGCCGAGAGAGGTAAGATGCACAGGATTCCAGATGGGCTCACTGGTAAATAAGTATAAAATCATACCTGGGTGAGAATAAAACACTGTCATTCGTTCAGTAACATACATATGCTAGGTACAGTTTCTACCTAAAACTGAACATCTGCTAGGAAAGAAACTAATCCATAGAAATGAGAGTCAAGGTTAGTTTTATGGTAGGTTTTAAGATATTTAGGGGTGTGTATAATTGCTGATTATGTGGAAAATAAAATACAGCTACTTTATTTAATACGATAATATGTTTGGTATTAAACCCTTCAGGTTCAGGGCCCTTCTGGATATGATTGAAGAAGGGGAAAAAAGCCAAAGAAATCACAAATTTGTCTATAATCTTAAAAAGCAGAGAATGGTTGTAAATATATAATATGAGTAGAATAAATACCAAGTTTATATTATCTTCTTTATTCTTCATTTTGTACACTGAACACATTTGAGCCTTAGACTGAATAACTTAGTTTTATTTAAAGTGTTGGATAGGATGGAGTATCTTTATACTAGGTAACTTTACTCACACATTAGAAAAGAATAGAACTGTAGATACAGGTATTTGAGATATTCAGGAGCCAGTTTTTAAAATGACACAGGCCAGTATTTCATTGCTGTATTTTTGGTATCTTTCCCTTCTCCCTGCCCACATGGCTCATGAGAGTTAACAAAAGTCATGGACTGCTGAACTTACCTCTAGAAAAGTGAGAACTTAGTATATCAAGGGGTCTTGTCACCTTGCTTCATGTAGGGATGTCAGCTGTGCCCTTGGGGTTTTGAGGGAAGATAAAGGTCATTGCTCTCATCCCCCTACTGTCCCGTGTATGTCTCCAGCAGCGTCCTTCATCTGGAGCTGTGCCTTTTCTGCTTAGGGTTACCTATATTGACTCAAAACTTTTGTTAACGTTTTTCATACTCTATCTTGTTTCTTACCTGATTAGGTTTAAAAAGTTTTTGCAAAGAAAAAGACAGGAACCTAATTATTAAGATGGATCCTAGTTAATATAGATCAATAGCCAGCAAAATCTGGTGAAAGCTTTGAGAGCTTGCTAGAAGTTACATCATTAACTCACCCCGTGAAAACACAGGATAGACTAAAATCTGTCCTGAATGCCTGGGTTCATTTCAGCCTGGAGTCAGGTGTAGGCATCTAGCAGTTTTGTAATTTTGTCTGAATCCTGAAGAATACAACAGATAATCTCTAGAAATGATTCTTGTTAGCCAACTTTATTTTCCTTGATTATGGTGGGAGGAGGAAATGAGTGAATTCCTTGAATTAGTGATAGTTATTTGAGGTCCTTTTGTTTGCCAAGCACTCGTCTTGCCTGGAGAATCCTGTGGATGGAGGAGCTTGGTGGGCTGTTGTTCATAGGGTTGCACGGAGTCGGACACGACTGAAGCGACTTGGCAGGAATGCATGCATTGGAGAAGGAAATGGCAACCCACTCCAGTATTCTTGCCTGGAGAATCCCACGGATGGAGGAGCCTGGCAAGCTGCTGTCTGTGGGGTCGCACAGAGTCAGACACGACTGAAGTGACTTAGCAGCAGCAGCAGCAGCAGTCCAAATGTGGTGGGAAAAGGGGTCCTCTAGGCCAAGTTCCCCTTAGTGGGGGAACTGACAAGAAATGAAGAGACAGACAGATGCATAATGTAACAAATCAAGTAGGGCAAAGGCAGAGAGGGTGCTGAATGGCCAGGAAGGTATGTTCCAGGCTGGGTCGGGGGAACCTCTCTGAGAGGTGATGTTTGGTAGAGACCTGAATAAGATAGGAGAATGAGCCAGGTGAAGATTGTAGGCTGTACTCTAGTTAGAAGGAAGGGGAAGGACATGGTCCTTGGCAGGCTTTCTGAGTGTGCAACAGCAGGGCAGTGAGGCTGGAACAGAGTGAATGAGGCAGAGAGTGGTAGGATTGGAGATTGAAGAGAGGCAGGAGCCAGGTCATGTGAGCTTGGACTTCACTGAGTGTGGTGAGGGGTTGAGAGTATTGAATAGAAGTGGGAGAGTGATGGGGTCTGAGCTACATTTTGGAAAGATCACTGTGGCTTTTGGGAGTGAGCTTTTTGTCTGAGACCCAGAAGCAGAAGCAGCGAGAGAGATGAGGAGCTGTTTCCAATTAGAAGTAGAAGGCTGTTTAGATTGAGGTGGTGACAGTGGAATTTGTGAGAAGTGGTTGCAATTGGGAAATAAACTTACAGTAGAGCCAACACGATTTACTGAGTAAGAAAAGACACAAACCAAGCATGCTGCTTATTGGGATGGGCCAAGCGTGAGAGTTGACGAGGAGCTCTTTCTGAACTTGAGTGTTTAAGAGATTCATTGGCCTCCAAGAGGAGCTACTCAGTAGGTTTTAGGTCAGCTCAGGGAGGCTTGAGAGCTGGGATAGGAACTTTGGAGGCATCAGCAAGTGAAATTTGCTCAGTCATGTCTGACTCTTTGCAACCCCATGGACTATACAGTCCATGGAATTCTCCAGGCCAGAATACTGGAGTGGGTAGTCTTTCCCTTCTCCAGGGGATCTTCCCAACCCAGGGGTCAAACCCAGGTCTCCCACATTGCAGGCAGATTCTTTACCAACTGAACCACCAGGGAAGCCCAAGAATATTGGAATGGGTAGCCTATCCCTTCTCTAGCAGATCTGCCCAACACAGAAATTATCAGCTTGTGGTGTTTAAAACCATGGGACTTGAGTGAAGAGGGCTGGAGTGCAGAGAACACCTCTTTTGCATTTACGGGTTTAGAAGAGGCCTGGCATTTAAAGATTGAAAAGAGGAAAAGAAGCAGCGAATAAAATGGGAGTGTCCAGTGAGTAAAGAGGAAATCCAGGGGAGGCTGGTGATTTGGAAGATGGAAACTTTTACAAAGCAAGGAGTGACCAATGTGTCAGAGAATGAAGGAGTTGAGTAATAGGACTGGAAGTTGACCTTTGCAGTTGAAAATGTGGAGGTCTTTGGTGACCTTAAACGGTGATTTTTTTGGAATAGAGGATTTTTCTGGAATGGTGAGAATTTGAACGGAGTGGATTCAAGAAAGGATGGAAATATGAGGACGTGGAGTGACTGAAGCGAGTATAATAGCTGGTTTGACAAAACCAATTCCATCCCTGTTTTTAAATTTTAAAATAGCTAACACTTAGCAACTGCTGATGTGTAGCCCCTTCAGGAAGTTATATAATTGGAATAGAAAAAAATGCCAGTGTTTTTACTTTGCCCTGAGTTGGCATATATTTAGATGTGTTTTCTAGGTCTGCATGGAAAAGACTCAACTATCATCACTGGTGATGACTGAAATTCATAAGACTTAAAAAACTAAGGCAGGAGGAGAAGGGGACAACAGAGGATGATATGGTTGTGTGGCATCACTGACTCGATGGACATGAGTTTGTGCAAACTCCGGGCATTGGTGATGAACAGGGAACCCTGGTATGCAGCAGTCCATGGGGTCCCAAAGAGTTGGACATGACTGAGTGACAGAACTGAAAAAACTATTGATGTGTATCTTACAAATATCCTTCATATAATTTATCTAAGTTCATGTTAATATGATCCTCATTCATCTGTGATTACCTAAATTCATTAATCTTTTCTGACATAAAGTGGCATAATATCTTTAAGGAAACTGTTCTGTAAGAAATGATTTCTGTTTTAATGTACATCAAAACTACAATGAAGTATCACCTTACACTGGTCAGAGTGGCCATCATCAAAAAGTTTACAAATAATAAGTGCTGGAGAGACTGGAGAAAAGGGAACCTGTACTGATGGTGGGAATATAAATTGGTGCAGCCAGAGTGGAACACAGTCCTGCTCCTGGGCATATATGGAAAAGACAGAAACCCTAGTTCAAAGAGATACATGCACCCCAGTGTTTTATAACAGTATTATTTACAGTAGCCAAGAAAAAGAAGCAACCTAAATGTCCATCAACAGGTGAATAGTTAAAGAAGATGTAGTACATATATACAATGGAATATTGCTTAGCCATAGAAATAAATTAATTCCATTTTCAGTAACATGGATGGGCCTGGAAATTATCATACTAAATGAAGTCAGTCAAAGACAAAATATCATATGATATCACATATGTGGAATCTAAAAGATTGATACAAGTGAACTTATTTACACAACAGAAATAGACTCACTGACATAGAAAACAAGGTTACGGTTACCAATGGGTAAAGTGGGCGAGAGGGATAAATTAGGTGTTTGGGATTAACATCTACACACTGTTATATAAAAATAAACAAGAACCTACTCTGTAACACAGGGAGCTTTATTCAGTATCTTGTAATAACCCATAATGGAAAAGAATCTGAAAAAGAATATATATATGTATAAGTGTACATGTGCTGTGTTTAGTCGCTCAGTCGTGTCTGACTCTGCGATCCCATGGACTGTAGCCCGCCAGGCTCCTCTGCCCGTGGGGATTCTCCAGGCAAGAATACTGGAGTGGATTGCCCTGTCCTCCTCCAGGGGATCTTCGCAACCTAGGAATTGAACCCAGATTTCCCGAATTGCAGGTGGACTCTTTACTGCCTGAGCCACCAGGGAAGCCCAGGAATACTGGAGTGGGTAGCCCATCCCTTCTCCAGGGGATCTTCCCAGCCCAGGAATAGAACTGGGGTCGCCCACATTGCAGGCCGATTCTTTACCAGCTGAGCTACCCAGGAATCCCATATGTGTGCATATATGGGATGTCTGAATCCCATATCTGGGATTTGAATCATTTTTCTATGCACCTGAAATTAATGCAATATTATAAATTAACTATAATTTTTTAAAACAGAGTTTCTTATTTTAAACCATAGTTTAAGAAAAGTTTGTGTACCCAAACTCTCTCAAAGCTTTCTGTAAAATGCATGCAGTTTTTTCCACTAGGAGGCGCAGTAGGAATGAGAATGGACTTCAGCCTTCAAACGGCTTCCATCCCGAGTGGTGATGGAGTGTGATGTTGATGTTTCCTGTTTGTTTCAACTCCCAGAGCTAAGTCCCATGAAGCAAAAGGGAACAAAATGCCACAGCATAGTTTTGCTTTATGCTTTTTCTCCCCATCTGTTCCATTTGGAGTAGAATTAAAAGTCAATAAACATACAAAAATCAATAGCCTTCCATTAGACCAGTAATGACAGAAAAGAAGGTGTAATAGAATAAAATAGAATAGTCACAGTGGCCATCAAAAATCATGAAGCACCTGTGAGTAAACCTAGAAAGTATATACAGAGGTTTTTTTGGGGGGCAATTATAAAACTATTGACGGAGGTAAAAGAAGACTTTAAAAAATGTCGGCCTATATTATGCTCACAGGTGGGATATGGCATATCAGTTCTCTCCAGATTAGTCTATAAATTCTAGGAATCCCAATTAAAATCTCAGCAGATGATTATGAATTAATTAGGAGAGAGGAATGGATTTTATAACTATTTTAGGTAGGAAAATAATACACTGCCTGTTTCATGCAACTATAAAGTTTTTTTGCTAGAGTGGAGGGAAACTGGAAGTGTTAGTCTCTCAGCTGGGTTAGACTCTTTGTGACCCCATGGACTGTAGCCCGCTGGCTTTTCTGTCTGTGGATTTCTCCAGGTGAGAATACTGGAGTGGGTTGCTATGCCATCCTCCATGGGATCTTTTCGACCCAGGAACGGAACCCAGGTCTCCCACGTAGCAGGTGGGTTTCCTGCTGCCTGAGCTGCCAGGGAGGCCATAGAGTGGAGGGAAGGAGGGGCCTTTTTCATGTCAGTACGTAACTTATTCACAGAAGTAATAAAGTGAGTGCTAACACATGCAGTCTGTGCCACAAGCACATAGCATTTTCAGGTCCTCACAGTTACCAAGCTCTCCTACACTGGGCCTTTGCATGTGCTGCTCCCTTAGTTTCCTCTTTACCACTTTGAATGAACCCTGGTCCAGGGGTCCCCAGCCTCCTGGATCTAATTCCTGATGATCTGAGGTGGAGCTTCTGTAATGATAATAGAAATAAAGTGCACAATAAATAAAATGCACTTGAATTACCCCCAAACTACCCTCCACACCAGTCTATGAAAAAATTATCTTGCACGAAATCTGGTCCCTGGTGCCAAAAAAGGTTGGGGACTGCTGGCCAACACTACTCATCCTTGAAGTCTCAGTTTAGATCTTCTCCTTCTTGCCCTAATTGTCTCTGTCAGAGCAGATGGGTCTTCCCAGGTGGCTCAGCAGCAAAGACCCCGCCTGCCTCTGGGTTGGGAAGTTAATAGTTTAGTAATACACTTAAGAAAATAAGTAAGTTACACTTAGGCAAATAAGTAACTAGCAGGGCTTCTCAGGTGGCGCAGTGGAAAAGAGTCTGCCTACCAATGCAGGAGACAGAGACCCAGGTCTGATATTCTCTGGGCGGAGAATATCCTCAGGAGTAGGAAATGGCAACCTGCTCCAGTATTCTTACCTGGAAACTTCCATGGACAGAGGAGCCTGGTGGGTTACAGTATACGGGGTCTCAAAGAGTCAGACACACCTGAGCAGCTGAGCACACACATACACAGGCATCAGAGCAGGTATCACAACCAACCAAGCCCTGTGCAGATCCTGACGATGCCCTTTGTCTCCTGCAGGTGAGGGAGTTTAAAGGTCAGCATTTTATCTTGGAGGAAGCAATCACAGGGGATTTTGCTTTGGTGAAAGCCTGGAAGGCAGACCGAGCCGGAAATGTGATTTTCAGGTATTACAGTGGTTTTAAAAAATGTTCAACGTGATGCCTTTTAGCAACATTATGTTTCTGAAATTATGATTACAAAATGGATACCTTGATGTGTTTGGTATTTAAAAATTTACTTTAAAGATTGCTTAAAATCAATCACGTGTGTGTGTGTGGAGGTGTGTGCAGAACCATTGCTGTGTGGCCATGGTGGTTTGGTGCACTTGAGGACATCTGTTCTGACTAATTGGTGCCCATGGGGCACTGTTTGTTTGTTAACTATTTGATTCTATTCTAGTCTTGTATATAGTCACATATACTTTTGTCCTGTGTATTTTAGTGGCTAAGACTAATTACAGTGTTGTGACATACTTAGAAAAGCTGACAAAAGCACACAATTATATTTAATTTTGACATCGTTATTTATATGCATTGTCTTAAAACACCTAAGTTAGTTTGATATTCTGGAAAAATATTGCTAATAAGCATTTAGGTCAGTTCTTTTCCAGGCTTGTTGGTGTCTACTAGGAAGTGCTTATAAAGATGATGTTTGGAAAGTTGATTAACATTAATAATGCTTAGCTTTCATTTTCATTATCTGGATGGCCACAGATATTAAGCCACTTAATAGATTTCAACATCTTTTGACTACCTTAAGCATACTAAATACCAAGTTTCAGTATCTTGGATTTAGGTATTATGTAGTTGTTTTTTGAAAATTGTGCCACCTTTGAATATACTTACAAAAGCTTTCAAAATGTTTGGTTTTGAAGACTTTACCTGTTAGGTTACCGAAATAGTTTTCTTTCTTATAATATGGTCCATTTCCTGCTTTTTGTTAGTGATTTTTAAAAAATCTTTACCAAATGCAGCTTTGGTATGATCACAGTTAAGATATCAGTGATCACTCTCACATTACTGTTTCATTTCTGAGGATCTTGTATGACATTGACGTCCCTGGTGGCTCAGATGGTAAAGAATCTGCCTGCAATGCCTGAGACCAGAGTTCAATCCCTGGAATGGGAGGATTCCCTAGAGAAGGGAATGTATAACCACTTTAGTATTCTTGTCTGGTGAATCCCATGAACAGAGAAGCCTAGCAGGCTACAGCTCATGGGGTCACAAAGAGTGGACACAACTAAGTGACTAACACTTTATATGACATTAAATATGCTGTATTTGATTTTTTGAGCTTAGCCAATTTTTTTGTTTGTTTGATTTTGTTTTTTTGATGGGGCCACGGCACTTAGGATCTTAGTTCCTTGACCAGGAATCAAACCTGTGCCTCCTGCAGTAGAAGTGCTGAGTCTTAACCACTGGACTGCCAGGGAAGTCCCCAAATTTAGTCAGTTTTTGGTATTATAACTAATTTCAGCAATTACAGAGGACATTGTGCATGCTATCTACCTTTATTTGACACCTTGGTGTAATGTTTATGAAGCTAATTTTTTTTTTGAAGATTAATGAAATTGTATAGTAGCAAATGGAAATGAATTACTTAAAATATTTCCATGAGTTTATCCTGTGCTTTACTGCCTGTTGTCTAAAGACAGCACAAGGGCTATTCTGAGCACAGACTTTATGCCTGTGGTTTCTGCTCAGTAGCCATTGAGCTTTGATGTGAAATGAGAGTGCTTGTCGCCAGTGGTCAGGTGGCCTAGATTCTTAAGATCTGACTTCTAGGCTGACCTTCATGTTTAGTGGAACAACTGGTACAGAGGTCTGTCTAGGCCATTGTTAGAGTGGGCAGGCCCTGCATGCCTGCACCTCAGGCCACTCTGTCCTTGGAGCTTTTGATGCTAGATGTTTGATGGAATCCAACACAGTAGCTTGTGAAAGTATATACAGATATTCCTCTCTCAAGGACACACCTATTCTTGAATCTGAGTGAAAGAAACATTGCTAGCACAAAGGGCTGGTAAGACATGGCTGTGAATTATTTCTCTTTACCAAAGAATTTTTCCTTTCAATTTACACTCTCAGAAACAAGAACACATTTCAAATTTTTTTTTCCCATTTATTTTTATTAGTTGGAGACTAATTACTTTACAATATTGTAGTGGTTTTTGCCATACATTGACATGTATCAGCCATGGATTTACATGTATTCCCAATCCTGATCCTCCCCCTTCCACCTCACTCTCCACCCGATCCCTCTGGGTCTTCCCAGTGCACCAGCCCTGAGCCCTTGTCTCATGCATCCAACCTCGGCTGGTGATCTGTTTTATTATTAGAGTAAGTGTATGAATTTAGGAACTTGGGAATGCAGAACCATCAGCAAAATTGGCCTCCTCTTTTTATACCTCAGGGTCTGATGTGGGGGTTGTAGTTTCAAAAATTTCATTAGAAGTTGGTTCTCCAGAATGATCTTTATAAGTGACTCACAAATTACCCATGAATGTTTCAGTTAATTTCAGCAATAGATTTCTCTTTAATAATAAGTATAATTACTATACCTTCTCAGATAAAGCACTTTCTACTCTTCTTAATATTTAATAAGAGCAAGTTCAGTGAAATATTTAACTATAGAAACAAAGTGGCATTTCAGTTAAAAGATTTAGAGAAATTAGACTCATTAATATTCATTTTATTTTTCTGTGTATAATTATATGCTGAAAATGAAAAATAGTTCTTTCTCTTGTTAAGTGGCCATTGCATTGTTTTTATTTATAAAATAGCTATAGAACTTATAGAAAATATGATATTCTCTTTTAAAAAGATTCACAGAGTCTTAGATTACAGAAATTCTTTTAATCTGTAATTAAAGCTGAGAGAGACACTTCTTATTTTTGGCCTTCTTTCCACACTTCCTTATTCCCTCACCCCTAATGTAGGAAAAGTGCAAGGAATTTCAACTTGCCGATGTGCAAAGCTGCAGAAACCACAGTGGTGGAGGTAAGAGAAGAGGTTATTTCTGATTTCCTAATGTTACTTTTTTAAAGTTGATGTTATGTGTTAGTTTAAGAAAAAGCACTACAGTTCATTTGTTTTCATGAAGAAGGACAGTCACCATTTTTTTCATTTTGGATGTTGAAGGATTCTATTTAAATATATGATAGTTGAAACTTTGCTGGAATTTGAGCTTTCTGGTTAGCTAGGATCTCACTAGAATGCTCACTTTGGGAACCAAGCTATGAGGCTGACCAGCTCATAAAAATTCTTTGGTACTTGAGCAAATTGGACCTTCTTGGATAAAATCTCAGGGATGAATTTTTCTAAAAAGAATCCCAAGGAAAATAATAAGTTGTATCAGGAGAAGTTCTTTATTTCACTGTGACAGAGAGTGGTGATACTTTGAGGAGGAAGGAGGGTAGTACAACTCATTGCTTTGATGTGGTTCTATTTGGGACAGTTGAATTAATGCACTAACTGACTCTCCTCTAAACATCTCAGGGTTTGTTCAGAAGAGACTTGAATAATTCTAAAATGTGCATAGGGTTAAAGCTCTGGGATAGAAATAGGTGCTTATACCAAAACCCTGCCATTTTGTGTATATATATTGGAACGTAAAAGGAGACTTCAAAATGATTCATGTAGGCTTTGGGGATCACTTTGGAACCAGATTTTCATGGGATTTGAGATATATTTCCCCATGGGAGGGCTTTATAGGATCCCATCTTGGAATCTGGAAATGAGAATGTATGTTCTTGACTTTTCTTGTGATGGTACCATTGTACTGGATATCTTTTCATTCCTTCAAGCACTTGACCAAGATGATATTTCATGGAGGCAGTGCTGCTGTATTTTTTAAACAATCAAATGTTAGAATTCTGTTTCTCTCTTGGAAAGTACAGTGCATTATTATTATTTTACTAGATGGCCATAGTTTGGCTTCTTTTTTCCCCCTTTTATGGAAGAATGGTTAGTTGACAGTATTTGAAGTGTACTATTTTTAAAGTGCTGGGAAATGTGGTGCTTTCAACATCGGCAGGATGGTTTCTTTTGCAATGGCTTCAGTATATTTTCTTCATTTAAAATAGATAATGTGCCCACTACAATATTGTAAAGTAATTAGCCTCCAACTAATAAAAATAAATGGAAAAAAAAAGAAAAAATAAAAAAAATAAAATGGATAATGTGATTTAATCTCTGTGCAGTTTTTTTAAAATCAAATCATCTTAATGACCTCTCCATTGCACATACCTGTAACAGTACTGAAAAAAGCCTATAACACAGCTTAAACTAATTGATAGTTTAACTCTGTTGATTGTATGGACTTCTGTAAAACTACCACAAATGAGTATTATTTCTGAGTACTATGGGGGTGATATGCATTGTCCTATGTGATGTTCTTTCTTTTTTTCCCTTTTATAATCTAGTTCTTTTCAGCCAGTCTTATCTCTTCTGAAAGCAGGAATGAATCCCTAGTAGTCTGAGAATTAGTGAAGATATTTGAAAAGATGTTCGCTGTTGGCATAAGGGAAAGGGAAGTAAAATCCTTTAATTGAGCCTGCAAATATGATAAAGGCTGCCCTCCCATGTACAAGAACAGACATCTCTTATTCACAGCACTCTGTCCTGTTAGACCCAGATCCCCTTCAGTATAGTGCTGCTGGCTGCCACTGCTAATTGATTATACCTGCACTGCCCAGTATGCTAGCCAGTACCCAATGCAACTTTTAGAATTTAAACAGTTGTTGTTGTTCAGTGACTAAGTTGTGTCCAACTCTTTGCAACCCTATGTACTGCATCATGCCAGGTTCCTCTGTCCTCACTGTCCCACATTTGCTCAAACTCATGGCCATTGAGTTGGTGATGCCATCCAACCATCTCATCCTCTGTTACCCCCTTCTCTTCCTGCCCTCAGTCTTTCCCAGCATCAGGGTCTTTCCCAGTGAGTCAGCTCTTTATATCAGGTGGCCACATAATTGGATATTCAGCTTTAACATTAGTCCTTTCAAAAAATATTCCAGGTTGATTTCCTTTGGGATTGACTGATTTGATCTCCTTGCAGTCCAAGGGACTCTCAAGAGTCTTCTTCAACACTGCAGTTCAAAAGCATTAATTCTTCAACACTCAGCTTTCTTTATGGTCCAGCTCTCACATTCATACATGACTAATGGAAAAATGATAGTTTTGACTATATGGACCTTTGTCAGCAAAGTGATGTCTCTGCTTTTGAATATTCTGTCTAGGTTTATCATAGCTTTTCTTCTTTTTTTTTTTTTAATTTATTTTATTTTATTTTTTTTAGTATAAAATACATAGAGCAAATGCCTATTTTAATTTGATGGCTACAGTCACTGTCCGCAGTGATTTTTGGAGCCCGAGAAAATGAAACCTGTCACTATTTTCCCCATCTATTTGCCATGAAGTGACGGGACTGCCATGATCTTAGTTCTTTGAATGTTCTTTGAATGTTGAGTTTTAAGCCAACTTTTTCACTCTCCTCTTTCACCCTCATCAAGAGGCTCTTTAGTTCCTTTTCGCTTTCTGCCATTAGTGTGGTATCTGCATATCTGAGGTTGTTGATATTTCTCCCGGTAACCTTGATTCCAGCTTGTGCTTCATCCAGTCCAGCATTTTGCATGATGTACTTTGCATACAAGTTAAATAAGCAGGGTGACAGTACACAGTCTTGACGTACTTCTTTCCCAATTTTGAACCAGTCCATTCATTGTTCCATGTCCGGTCTTGACTGTTGCTTCTTGATCCGCATACATGTTTCTCAGGAGACAGGTAAAGTAGTCTGGTATTCCCATGTCATAAAGAATTTTCCAGTTTGTTGTGGTCCACACAGTCAAAGGTTTTAGCATAGTCAATGAAGCAGAAGTAGTTGTTTTTTTCTGGAATTCCTTGCTTTCTCTATGATCCAGTGGATGTTGGCAATTTGATCTCTGAGTCTTCTGCCTTTTCTCAATCCAGCTTGTACATCTAGAAACTCTCGGTTCATGTACTGCTAAAGCCTAGCTTGAAGGATTTTGAGCATTACCTTGCTAGCATGAGAAATGAGCAGAACTGAACCTTCTTTGGCATTGCCTTTCCTTGGGATCCAGTCCTGTGGCCACCGTTGAGTTTTCCAAATTTGCTGGCCTATTAAGTGCAGCAATGTCACTGCATCATCTTTTAGGATTTGAAGTAGCTCAGCTGGAATTCCATCATCTCCACTAGCTTTGTTTATACTAATGCTTCCTAAGGCTCACTTGACTTCACACTCCAGGATGTCTGGCTCTAGGTGAGGGACCACACAATCATGGTTATCTGGGTAATTAAGATGATTTTTGTGTGGTTTTTCTGTGTGTTCTTGCCACTGCTTCTTTTTTTTTTTTTTTT